ACAACTCGGGCAAGGGGCTAATAGCCAAACGCGTCTGGCTAACACAGGATCAGTTGAGCTCGTAAGTAAATCGACATGTCCCACCTCGACCCAACACACAGTTGGTGTCCCTGGGAATGGAGTTTTGACACAGAGGTAAGCTTGGCTTAGCTATTTCAAGCGTGTTGAAAATGCGGATCATCGGAATGATGACCTCGGTTCGAAGGGTCGTTCCCCAGGCCGCACTACGCAGCCGCCCGGTATAACACTTTTTATAACGCCAAGTTCTCCTATGGGAACTAGAGAGGCGGGTTTCGATCTTGGACCAAGTGAAGGAAGCCCTGCCCTGGTGGTCGTCACTGGCCAACCTTGGGCAGAGGGGGGCCCCCTTGGACCCGCTCACCGCTGGTATGACTCTGGTAACAGATGCCTCCCCCCCAGGGTTGGGGAGCGCATCTATTGGATGAACAAGCCCAAGGATATGGCTCACGCATTAGTTTCGGGACTACCATATCAACTGGCTCGAACTGAGAGCAGTGTACTTAGCATTACCATGCTTTCCCCCCGTAGTTCGAGTCCTGGCAACGCAGCGGTGGTCTGCTTCAAGAAGGAGATGGCATTCCCCATTGTTGTCAGTTCTAGCGGAGCAAATCCTCCTTTGGTGCCTGGAATACAATGTGGAGCTAAACGTACACCACCTTCCAGGGGTAGGAACAGTCTTGTGACACCCTTTCAGGGCAGCTCCGTCTCCAGAACACTGAGTGGCTGATACCCCAGTGGGTAGCCTCCAGGCTGTTTCGGCTGTGGATGGTCCAAGATTAAACCGGTTTGCCGCACCCCGGAACACCAAGCTTCCGACATACGTAACACTCCTGCTGACTCCAGGAGCCTGGGCCAGGGTTGCTTTGCTACCCCGCGGACCCACTTAGTTGTGTACGCCTTTTCTCCCTTCCCACTAGTTCACCGGGCACCTGCATATTATCATTGGTCGCACCCAATTGGCCAAGCAAGGCCTAGTTTCCATTTCTGTCGGAAATGATAATCGAAACACCAGCAGTGCTTCCGGACTTACTGGATCTGTCGTCCCAACCAGATGGTGCACTACCAACGAGCCCAGCAAGTATCACTTACACACATAGTCTCTCAGTAGACCCGCACATACGAAAGCCTTATCTGAGCGGGTTGCCAACGTCCTGGCCAGGGTGGGCAGGGATCCCACCAACGCAGCCTACATTTCTAGGCTGCGAGCTGATTGGTGTAGCGGAAGGGAAATTGATCCATACTATCCATCTATTTTCCAGGTAGCAGGCTCCTTCGTCTACCTGTTTGACGAAGTGGGTTTGTCCTACACAGCGATCGTTGGCTACAGGTCGGCCTGGAGGG